AAAGCGACCATTTTACTCTATTTAGGTAATTTTAGAATACCAAGGGATGCTCTACTAGGCAAAGCTTTTTTCTTGTTTTTTTTTTTTTAATTTTGTTTTACAACTTTCATTTTTGATATTTCACATTGTACACTCACAAAATAGGTAAATTAACCAATATGATCAAATTGAATTTCTTGAGATCAGGTCCATAGGAAACTGTTTCAGTTAAGGAGGAGTGGCATGATCTAACAAGAATTCTTGTCAAAAAAATTATTTTGAGGGAGAGTTAATTAATTTTTCCTATAAAGAATATACCATCAATATTCTTTCGGGGAAGTAGGTGTTCCTTCAGATCTGTACTTTTCCATGACTTTTCCGGTTAATATAGAATACTTGAATATTAAAGTTATTATCCAATGCTTAGGAGTTAATAATGTCATATTGATATTGATCGTGCATTCAAGAAAAGCATAACGATGGACTTACTTTGGAACAGTAAAATTATATATACGAAGGATGATCAAAAAGTTCGTAAACTAATTGAATTACTTCCATAAAAGAAATAAAATTAGGTTTCAGTGTTTATTATTATTTTTTTTAGTAGTCCCCTCCGATTTAAATGCACATCTGCCAACTTCTACACATGCGCGAATCACATGCTCCATAGTGTACTGTTCATAGAAGCTAAGAGATTTTCCGGGTTTTTTTCCTTACCATGCAGGTTATTTTTATAACAAGAATAGTCCATTTGTCATAAATAACCAAATCTCGGCAATAGGATGGGTGGATAAGGATATCTTTTCCCAAAATGAATACAACCCGACACCTCTGTCCTGCGTGCTTCGTTTATCCAATGTGAATTTAATATTGGTGCCTTCTCTTTATCATATCTGCTATGTTTAAAATCAAAAGTAAACGACATTTTAGGAATTTAATAATTACTTTATTGTTAAGATATTCAACCATATTTCTAGCTGTAACTGGGCGATCTTCATAACTTATTGCTCAACTAAGTACACATCTCTTCCCAAGCTTACATTCACTGAACTCAAGAACAAACATCATTTTTAACCAGCTCCCTTCCTTCATCAAAACAATCAATTCAATTATTGATTGAACTTCTGGCAATTCTGTTTCTTGATAAACCTTGTACAAATTATTATATTCCACTGCAAGGAATTTCCAAGATATACGTTAAACTTTACAGCCATTCCTTGCTCGAGTACGACTGAGTCAACCATTTTTTTGTCACAATTAAGTTATCTCCATATTGACGTTATTTTCACATTGTTCACAAAGGTGTTTTTTCAGTTTTTGGTAAAGTTATTTTTACTTTTCATATTGGATTTAGGTCTAAGAAAACAATATTTCTAAGCATGAGAAACAAGCGTAAGAAAACTTATGAAACTTTAGATGAGACAAGGTCGGTCGAAGGTAAGCCTAATAAGATATTTGTGAAATTATGTAATTCGAAATATGCCCTCATCAATATTAGAATTCTAAACGATAATATAGCTTTCAATAAATCCACATTATTTCCAAATTTATATATATCTGCAAGTAATAAGACTATTTCCAATAAACAAATGTCAACATCTACTTCTTATGACATAGAAATAGAGAAGGGAAACTGTACTTATATCAAGACATTGCTCTCCGTAACTGTAAAAGTAAATGTGTCTATGTCTTACATTTTCGAGTTAATTCACCGAGCAGTTTAAGTATTTTTTCTTTGCTTCTTACAAATATTCAACTTTTACGTAAGTTAAATTGCAGTAGACCATTACTTTCATACAAACAATGTTCCGTGACAATCTTTATGTTTAAATCATTTTGTTTCTGCATAGATGAAAAGTTTGAAGCTGGACCATTATCTATAGTGGAAATGATTCCAAATGCATGGCATCCATTGGTAATTAAAGTAGATAAAACATATCAAAAAGCATCATTTCTTTTTGGTCACATTCAGATAGATATTAAAGATGGCTTCATCTTTGGACATGCTAATCCTATTTTACGTGTTATAATGCAGAATACAGAAGATAGTGTAGAAATTAGATTAGGTCACAGGGACGAATTTGATATGTTAACTTGGTTAGCATACAAAATTTTCTTTTTCACGAATATGGATTGGTCAATCTTTGATGTTTTCCGATTTTATATAATTTTTATTTGTATCTGTATCTATTTGTATCAAAATTCAAATATATTTCAACAAGTTTATAATTTTTTGTTCAATAATCCTAACAGAATGGAAGAACATGAACCTAGAGTAGAAAACGTACAAAGAAGACGAAGGGGTAGGCGACTGAGAATTCATTAATGCATTTTCTCCTGGCTAGGCTTAGAAAATCAAGATAATTTTTTTTTTAATCTCCCTGAAAAAAATTCTAAAATTTGGTAAAGCTCTTTTAATCCCATTAATTTCCTTAATTATTTAAGTAAACTAATGTCCTAGCATAGGCTTTTGAAGAGCATAAGGCGATTGGACCAAAAGAAAGTTTTTTTTCATATTTTAACGAAGACCTAATGAGTTAAAGATAAATTCAAAATGCTCTCTGTTTGAGGGAATAAGTTATATAATTATCAATATAGTGTATAAGTTTCGCTGTATTTTTTCCCACTCCTTCTTATCGTTTTTTAAAAATTAAATTTAAAGTCCTGATCAATATTTAGCAAATCCTATGGCTCTTGGATTTATTAAATTAATTCTATACACAATCTATCATTGGGTTGCAAATTGACTGACATTTCTTATATCAATTGTTTAGCTATTGGTTTTGTGCTACTTTTACTTTAAATTAATTAGTTTAACAATTAATACAAAGAGCCTGTGACTGTTCGATTTGTCTCCATGCACGTATTATTGCCGGTGTGTACAATGTGTACTTTTCTAAGGCACCTGATCATTTAGCTACTACTGGTGTTTCCAGGGATCCATGTTTGTTTTGTTCAAAACTCGGATCGTGAAAAGGATTGATGGACCACTGATCATTCAACAGAGTTAATCCTTTTCAAAAAAAGGAAGTTTGTAAAAGCTTTGTGTTACATAAACATAATCACTACAGAAAGAAGTAAATTATGTAAGATTGATTCTTTTTTCCTAACTCATTGATATACTTTATGTGTAATACTGTATTTTGTTGTGTTTTTGTATTTCATGAATGGACTGTATTTTAAGAGATTCATACAAAAAATGTTTTGCTTAAAAATCTTTGCATAAACCTGTATTGTTATATATTAAATATTGTACAACATTATATGCATGAGCTTCAATAAATTGAATCTATTTTCATTTTTACTACAGAAAAGTTACTCTAACCTTGGAATACTATAATTTGACATTTTTTTAAATACTTTGCCAAGTATATGATTTACCCTGTGACACTGTATGGAAGGAAGCATTTACAAGTATATTCGATAACTTTGATTGATAAACAGACGTAAGGAATTATGAAGGAATTATGTCCCGTACTATTCTTTACATCTTCCTATCATCACGATCAAGCTGGTTTGTCTGTAAAACACAAAAGTCGATTACTATGCATATTGTGCTAAACCGATCAGGTAGTTTCTTTTTTAAAAGATACAAGTCCACACAATCAGACGGACAAACAAGATGTTTAATCTATAGCTAAGAACCAACAAAAATACAATGTACATTCAAAATTAGAATTTGCTCGACAAACAAAAGCATTTTGATTACTACAGCTAAAACCTGAAAGCCGAATATTTAGTTTTTGGCAGACAGGACACATGATAAAAACTTAATGCCAGCAATTTTTGCGTGGATACACAAAAACACTTGCTTTTGGGTTTTGAATTAGCTGTTATAAATAAGATGTTTAAGATACCTCTTTTGATCTACTTTAAACAATTTTCAGTTCTTTCAGAATCAATATAACTACAGAAAAGGATAAAATACAATCATGCATTTCTCGTTATTCTCGTTATTTTCCCTATCTAAATAAGATCCGATAAAACATTATATTTTAGGTATTTTTTCTCCCCACCAGGTGTGAAATTTTGACCGAAAACTTATGTTTAATATAAATTTTCATGAAATATGAAAATGATCTTGGTGTAAAATATTATTTCTGACATGTACACATTTGTACTCCAAATCATGGATCATTCCACATTAATGCAAAATAACAGTGCATTTAACAAAAGCATAGCATATCTTACCAAAACAAAAATACGACATCGATTCTAAAAATTTAAAAATCTAAAACTACGATTGTCATCTAGAGAAAACGAAAGAGCCAAAGAAGAATTTAATAGAAGGATGCTGGAGATGTCAATTCTATATTTAAAATTCAAAGCATTTATGTTTTACTCATTCCATTATGACATAACATTCTGGTTTTACATATTACTGTCTTAACATTCCTTACCGTGTATTCAAAGTCAATGTAAGTTATTGATTTCTTTGATGCGTGTATTTTAAAACCATCATTTAGTTCGCTGCATATGGTTACCTATCAGACATAATCATCTGTACTTTGAATCGGTATGTATGCTTTTAACCAAGATAAATAAAAATTAAATGTATTTCTTTATCTTTATAAAAATTGTTCGATAAAAATAGATATGAAAATTATCTGTAATTCACACGCTTGGTTTCGTAAAAAAAAATTTGAGGTTGCAAATTAAATAAAAAGAAAAGTTAACATTGAATAAAATATGAAGAATCTTATTCTTTGTCTAAAATGAAAGATGGTACGTAGATCAATCATTTCCTAATTCTATATACTAGTAAATGTATGTATTTGTTAAATTATTTTTCACCACAAGATCAAATCAGGGCCACCTCTTTAGTAGCTCACTTTTTAACATAAATCTTTTTTATCAAAACAATATTTTTAGATACTGACACACTATTCATTATTGTCCTAGTCTTTATTTTAAATTTGAATTTGACACATTTAACGATACACGTTTATTCTTTGTAAGATATCGTGAAAAATTTGCAGGGAGGCTGTAAAATACAGCTTTTATTCTACTTTTTCAGGAGTATGGCCAGCGCAAATGTACCAAGATTTGTAAAGGACGTAGAAAATATGTGTGAATGTAACATTTGCTTTGTCGAATATGACGAAAACAAACACGTCCCTAGAGTTTTACCATGTCACCACACATTTTGCACGGAATGTTTATCTAAGCATTGTAAAGAACAAACGTTAAAGTGTCCCTTGTGTAACCGAGAGCACTTTGCGAAAAATGGGGATGTAAAGACATTCCCAAAAGATAATACCCGACGTGACTTAAAGGAGCTTTTAGACAGATTCATGCAGTCATTGTGTGGAGTCTGTAGACGTCATGATCACGTGAAATATTTCTGTATTACGTGTAACATTCGAATTTGTAGTGAGTGTTATAAAGAAAAGAAGTCAAGTGATTGCAATACTCATGATTTTGAAATGCCTGGGGACTCATCTATGACACAGGACACATCCTTGAAATCTATATACAATCAATCAAAAGCAAGGTGTTTGCTCCCTGGTCATGAACATAACGAGTTAAAATTTTACTGCACAGAAAGGCAGTGTTGCAAACCAGTTTGTGCAAACTGCATAGTAGAGAAGCACAAAGAGCACGTATGTTGCTCCATTGAAGATAGATATGTAGATTGTAAAAAGGCTTTGCAGTATACATGCCATGCAACAAAGAGCAAAATAGCTAGAACAAAGAAGCTTCTAGAAAATGTAGAAAAAGAAATCACATCGCTGCCAGTGAATGAAAAGAAAGGCCAAGAAAGCCTTACTGCTGAAGCAAACCGAGGCATAAGATACATTCAAGATTATGTAGAGAATACCAAAAAGAAGATGAAGGAAACTTCACAGAAAACGTTAGCTATTTTGAAGAAAAAGCAACAAAAAATGCAATATTTTATTGATAATGCTTCCGAATGCTGTGCCATTTCGGAAGAGGCTTTAAGAGAAAATAATTGTGTGAAATTTTTATCAGTGGAAAAGACTTTGACAGAAAAATTGAATGGTTTCAAACAGTCAGAAGTAGATCGCCCTTTGGATCCCATCCTTAGAGAAAATGTTGAACTGCGGCGTCCCATTCTCGAACTAAATGAGAGAATTAATAGAATGACAACAGATGATGAGGAAACAGCAGAATAGCCGAATATAGTACCTTTAAATATGTAACTCGTTGAATTCCAAAAATATTGCTTTTTTATGATTTTAATGCTGATAGAGAGTTGTCCAACTTACTTGTAAAATTCTTAATCCTCTAAGCTTTCGTATGCAAAACTTTTTTAATTATGATAATTTTTTTGACAAAATGAAAACATACACGAATACTTTATGCATAGATAAACATTGTACAAATCTAGTTGAAATTTATACCGAAAACGGTTAATTGAATATTTTTATCATTATAATCATTATTATCAGTATATGTAGGATAAACGTTCGGGTGTTTCAGTGAGTTTGCTTTCATTTTTTATTGAACCAAAATAGAGCTACAAGTACGTTCGCTAACTGAGGAACTATCATTGCTTGTATAGGATCAGTGTTCGTGGAATTCCTGGACCCAGTTACCTACACGGAATGAATCTTCATCATTAACTTAACTGAATGGTAACTGAAAGGTCTGGAAAGATTACTGGCAGATCTCTGCCATTCAATAACTTTTCAGTTGACTTTCATTCAGCTTTCAGTTGACTGAATGGTAAAGTTTCATCCTTGGCTATGGAATTATGTCTCCACGAAATTGTATTAATTTAATTGCCTACAGACATTGTCCCCAACGAATAAAATAGATTCCACAGTGCTTTGAAAATATATTCTTTCATCTAATGCAGTCGTCAGTCTTTGATCTATATAGTTTTCAAACATTTAGAAATAGTTCCGATCGGTAGCAAACATTTTTGTTTCATAGAAATTGCAAGAAACCTTTATATCAATGAGTTCTTATGAACAAAACAGACCCCATTAGCAAAAAACTGTATAATTAACTGTTCATGTTTACCCGTACATAACCGCCCTCCCAAATTTCGTTGCGAGCAGAATATAAAGGTAAAATTACATAAGTACATGAAGATATACAGATATAAAAACACATCCACTCCACACAAGTTACATATTTTACCTAGTGTGTCAGGTTTCAGGTAGAAGTCTACCGGTATTATAAAACATTTTTCCGAAGGATGTGTTTTATTTAAAGGAGTTGTAAGACATTTGATTATCTAAATTGTTGATTATATTTGGACCTAAAACAAACTTAATCTGAAAAAAAAAATCCGTAGGAAATAGGTAATAAATTTGATTTAAGATTGGGTCTAACCGAAAATGTCCCCATGGACTTGCAATGATTCATTTGATAAAACATAAGCTTTAGTACTTTATTCTATACAACAAATGATGTATATATGTATTTTTTTTTTAGAATTAAATAACGTTGGAGCATACATGTATGTAAGATAATGGCAACGAAATCTCTGTGTAAAACAATAATATAGATAAGAAATATTATTTTAAATTCATTTGAAAGGCACAAAAGTTTGGAAAATTTTAGTTTAGGGCAGTTTATTGAAAAACACCATCGTTTATAAAACATTGACATAAAATAAAGAAAATATTCATGTATTGACAGCATTTATCTGAAACTTATCAAACGTTATTTCATTTCTTTATATTTAATTTCTTTATTTCTTTATTTTATTTGTACATGTTAATATGGAATACGTCAAATTAGTGTCACAGGTTGTTTTGGTAACTTTACAGCTATAGACATATTTATGTATATATAAAGGACAGTTTACAAAAAATCGTTGAAGAGTCTTAAAAAGATTAATGTTAACGAAATATAGGAATAAAACTAATGTTAGATAGAGAAATAACAAGGGCAGCAGATACACAAATTGTCAAATCAATAGTCAGGGTGACAAAACAGAGTACATCCAGAGGTTAATTAAATCGTGGTCCACAAACAATTGTAGTGTAAAATTAGAAAGAAAATATAGTCCCATGCAGGATATTACATTCTCTGTGTAGCAGATTAAAAGATCCATTCTTAATTACTAGTAAATTACTTGGGTAAGTAGCATTTCTTTAAGTGTATCTGTATCCTGTCTCGTGGCAATGATTTATCAGCAAAAAATCTTCATTGTCCTACCGGATATAAACTGTTTTAAAAAAGCAATCAATTTGTATGACGAGTCCAACACAAAGATTCTCATGATTCTTTGGTTGCGTATTGAAACATATTCTAGTGCTTTAAGGCAGTCAAAGACAAAGATGCCTTTCCGTTTTCGGCTGAACAAAATGAATTCGACAAAAATAGTTTCAAAATTTAATTTCCGGAAACGGAAATTCAGGAATGTTTTTTGCATTAAAGATTTAAAAGTATTATTCTTTTCGGATTTCATTCTTTTGATTAACATCTTTAAAACAAAAATTAATTAATCTATTGCCGAGAAAACATCTATTGCTGGAAATTAACTTCCATAACGGTTAAACATCTGAAGTAAATTTCTTTATTTTTAACAGGATCAGAGAAGGTAGATAAAACATTGCTCTGTACGTGAGCCAAGAGTTGTATTGCAGTTATGGGAAAAAATGTCTAATTGCATAGCATCCTTTGTCCAGTGATTACTGCTGAAAAAAATATTTTTTTTTATAATAAACTGCTGGCTACAGGGTTAAAACTAAAAAATAAAAAAGCTCACTTTTTATCACAGTATCGCGTTTCCACTATAAATGTGAGCCCTTTTTAAATATTTAATGGCCTGTACCTAGCCTTTATAAGATTTAAGTTTTACATCAACAAAATACTTTTACAGAGTTAAATGTTTAAATACATATTTTTTGTTTGTATCTCAAGGATATTTTTTTTTCTTTTATATAACAACACAAATTTAACTCACATTTTTTTTTTGTTCTTTATTTACTGAACATGCATATCTAAGTATCAAGATTTAGAATCATAATAATTAGCACAATGATAAAACCTTTATGGTCAAGTCAGAATCACTGTTACATGCATGATTACATAACATGAAAAAAGCTACTCTACAAATATTTATATTTAATGTAATATAAATGACATGCATGTTCTATATTTGATTACATAAAAATATGGCACACCATTTTCATTGATATTTACTAGCCTAGAAAAAATTGAAACAAAATGAGGTTACAAATCTCAAATTTAAACCCAATATGAGATTTTAACATTACCTTTTGTATTAAACATGAATATACATGTAATAAATGCACTAACGCAGAAATGTAACATGTGTGTAAATGATAAACTGATAACAATCATAACATGATCATAAACCAGAAGTCTCTGACGAGACTGTAGCTCTACTGGTTATACTTATAAAGGAAGATAAAAGTAACACTTGGACTTGAAACTTTGCAACAGCAATAAATAGAATAATGATCTATGGTTTAGTCTGTTTTATGTGGCAAGATTTATTGCAAGCAGAATAAAACTGTAGGAGGAGTAGCATTCTAAAACAATTTTTCAGAAATTTTGATTTAAGTAACCATCGCAACATCATTCAACAAAATCAAAAAACAATAACGACAATTATGTAGCTCAGTGTAGTCTACTTGTATGCCAAGCTCCACTGAAATCGGACAAAAAGTGTAGGAGGAGTAGCGTTTTGAAAGTATTTCAAGAAAATTTTTATTTCTAGTACCCATGGCAATATCGTTTATCAAAATCCAAAACTGGTAAAGAGAATTATGTATCCTATATAACTTATGTGCCAAGTTATACTGAAATCAGACCAAAACTGAAGGAGGAGTAGCATTTTGAAAGTATTTCAAGGAAATTTCTATTTTTAGTAACCATGGCAACATCGTTCATCAAAATCAAAAACTTATATTAATAATTATGTATCTTAGTGTGGTCTACTTGTGTGCCAAGTTATATTGAATTCAGATCAAAACTGTAGGAGAAGTAGCGTTTTGAAAGTATTTCCAAGAAGTCTCTATTTTTAGTAACCATGGCAACATCGTTCATTGAAATAAAAAAAAACTGATATACAGAATAATATATCTTAGTGTAGTCTACTTGTGTGACAAGTCAGACGTAAACTGTAGGAGGAGTAGCATTTTGAAAGTTTTTCACAGAAATTTCTATTTTTAGTTACCACGGTAATATTGTTCATTGAAATCAAAAACTGATATAGAGAATTTTGAACCATATTATAGTCTGCTTGTCTGCAAAGTTTTATTGAAATCAGACCAGGACTGTAGGTGGAGTAACGTTTTGAAAAATTGTTTACAGACAAACGGACAGCTAGACGGACAGACGACAAACACCTTACTATCGCATAAGCTTTACTGGTCTCTGAACAGTAGAGCTAAAATTGACCTTAAATCATAAAATCAAATATTAATAATTAAAACAAAAGATATTTTTTCCAATTATATTTTCAGACACTAAAATCATTTATGTGTTTAGAGTTTTTGTTCTGAACTCATTAACGGACAGAAAAGTGTTTTTTTTAATGGCACAATGATTTACAATTTGTTTTAAGATCTCCAAACTTATTTAAAGTTTCTCCTTAATATATTATATGTACATGTCGGAAGATGTAACTCTATTCAGCAACCACATGCCTTAACATTTTCAATTTAATACTTAATGAACTGTGTTCTATTCAGGCAGTAGCATCTCACATTGTATAAAATATATTATACATATACCCAAATCACATCCTATTTTGTTGTTTAAACACCTTCTTTTCTTTTGAATTGACATACATGTACATATATATATATATATGTCATACAGATAGAACACCAAACTTCACCCTTATGCTGCATATTAAAAGTCATATTGTGTGTGAACTGTTTAAATACAAGAATTTTTGTGTACTCGCAGAAAAGCAAGATACATAAGCTAGTATTTTTATACATTTAATATAATGTACGGTAAAATAAAAAAATTCAAACATTTAAATTAAATGCCCACATGCTAGAGAGTTTATCCAAGATATAAACAATATTTATCAATAACTATATCCCATATTTACAATAATCAAAAACAGAAGCTTCAATGTCAAGTATACACGCAGTTAAAAGTCTTTTGTTCCATTCATGATTTGTCTGTGTTTGATGCATATGACAACTAAATGTACTGCCACAGTCCTTACATATGAGCATGGAGGTACCTTAATTATGTATATGTTTCAAATAATCTACAGTAAAACAAGAGTTCAACAGACCTTTGACAGTGTATGTATTTTTTTTTTTTACACCTGTCTGACTTTCAGTGACATAACGAGCAGAAATTCATGATAGGCAGGGTTTGACATTAAGGCACGTCCGACCGACCCAGTCTGGTAAATGAGTGGTCCAGTTGTGTAAAATGTTCGTGATGTAGACCGACTGGTCGTGTGGATGAAATAAAGTTAACCCTAATTTCAGTCTTTCTAATACCGGTAAATATTCTAAATTTTTTTAATCTTATTTGTCTGATTGTAACCATCACTCTGTAGAAGAAAATTTTCCCGCATGACACAATCGCTATTTTTAATCCGGCTGTAATAGACCTGTCGTGATCGAAACTAACTTCGTTCAGTATAAATTGGAATGAATAGCAAACTTATTGATATATATACTATAATAAATTCTTTAATTTATTTATATTTAGGATAATTATTTTAATAACATTTGTAGAGTGTTTTTAAGGCTTATAATACTTATCAAGACTCAATGGCCTGCGACCTATGGAACAGTCTGTCAAAATATCTTAACAGGTGCGAGAGACGATATCTTTATTAAAGTATGCTTTCCAACCTTTTTTCCAATAATAATTAGCAGGTTATAAAAAGTAAATTTTCAAGTTTGGTCAAGGCTACTGATTTTACGGTCAGGGCTAGTAAAAATTATGGGAAGTAGCCCGACTGGTCTAGTGCTCATAAAAGTTAATGTCAAACCCTGATAGATGAGAAGATGTTTTACTCCATATCATTAATCAACTGCTTAGTAAACATGTGAAATTCTCCACTGAAACACTTTTAAAAATAAGTTTCTACATAAATACACTAAAGAATCAATGAACAACTCATAATAATTTGATTGATTTTTACATCACTGTGCCTTTAAACAAAATGGAATACATATAATAATTTTTTGTTAAAATTTCTTATATGAAACACCTGCGAAGAAAATATATCTCAAACATTCAAATGTACGGTGAAATTTTGTTACCTCAAACCCAATGGGACTGGGAAAAAAATGAAAAATCCAAGGATTCAAGATATCAAGAGTAAAATACTGCAAAAATAAGTTATTTGACTTCCAAATCTCTTTGAAATATCCATGGAATTTGAGATATCAATGTTCAAGATATCCAAGTTCAACGGTATACAATTTTTATTCCATTAATGCTGTTTAAGAAATCAATAATGTGCATGTAAAAACAATAATATAGGTTACACTGTAATTTTCAGAGAAGTATTTAAAAGGCACAGTATCACAAATACATGATTTCAAGAAAATGTTTTATCATTACTTTGACTTTTGTCCACATAATACAGGTAATACAATATAATTAGGATCAAAATTCATTTATAATCATGATAATGAATGAAATGTAAGGAACATGAATAGAAAGTCAGAGCTGCCAACATAATAAAATGAAAAACCATAATGAGGCCACTTAGCCACCTGGCCCTAGATATTTTAATTCTGATTTTTTTAAGGTGATTTAGATCGCAAGTTAGCACAGTACTGGACCATGACAATACAAGTATTCTCTGTAAGTAATGGACTTTTTTATCATAATAGTGAAAACTGATGGTGGAGAGCTATGAAAATACTGGTTTTTCAAACTATTGATGACTAAATAGATAAATCGTAAGGCAAGCATGTATTTAAAACGTTCAAACCATAAGACAAAATTGTAAGGGTTGTCAGTTCTGGACAGAAAATTTAAATGAAGATTAAAATATTCCACTGGTTTACATAATGTCCCTATAAGCATTCTCTACAATATACTAATTTTTTCCCCCAAAATCACTCTAGTGGAAGGTATCTCTCCCTATAGTTTTCATTACCTATACCAATGATTGCCCCCTCCTCTGAGAACTGGGGAACCTGCTGTGGGGGATAATTTCCTGAGGAATCTGTAATGGGGATGGCTATGGTCTGTGGTATATGTCCCCCCACATCATTGGGGAAAGAAACGGTCACTGCCGTGAGCATAGAGCTGGGGTCACCGTTGGGCTGGTACCCTAAGTCCTGTTCCATTGCATACCCCCCACTGACTGGGGGAGGGGGTTTGGCTGCTTTTCTATGTCGCGGCACCAGGTTATCCTCAATGTGTGTCTTCATGTGTCTCTTCAGTTTGCCGTGTTCTTTGAAGGCTTTGGAGCAGAGCTGACATTGGAATGGTCTCTCGTTCGTGTGGGTGCTACAATGAAATACCTAAAATCTATCATCTGTATAAGGGAAGTGACAAAATGGTAAGGCCACAAAAACTAATTTTTAGTTTCTTGAGCCAAAAATTTTCAAAATTCAATGTGACAGGCAGATCTTCATTGATTTGAAGCAGATGTTAACTCTTTTTTCTTGTCAGCCAATAAAATGATATCAATTGATTCTTAGTTTTTTGTACTCTTATAGTAATTATTATTTGTACTCAACCTTAAGTAATCTTATTACAAACATTTTTTAGAGAAATTAATTCACAAAGTACCATTTCCAAAAAGAAATGTGTTCTGTATCTTATCAAAACGTCTTTCTCTAAGCAAATATGAAAAGGGACAAAACTCATTTTGTCAACTTGGAAAAAGAGAAAAATTGATTTATTTCCCTTTTCAATGAAATGTAGAGATAACAAACAGTCATCAAGCTTACAAGTCCATTGAAAAATGTTAATAAAATTGACCAATGTGGCAGTAATTGACCTGATGTGGCGGTACCTGAGGAACTGTAGATTTTTTTTTTTGGCCTAATTCAACCCCCATTAAAAATGGTGCATATATGCCAGAAACTCATAAGTTTAATTATTGTCTCTACATTGTATCAGTATTAATCAAACTAAAAACAAGCTAGTGCACATATATGTATATTTTATTTTTCAGCTTTTTCAATTTACATTAAGCATGTCTGAAAATTTTTAGTTTACCAATATAAATAATTTACAAAGGGATTATCTTGCTTACCGTAGATGAACTGTGTATTGCGAGGCCGATGGCATTTTCTTGTTGCAGTAAGAGCAGGTGTAGATTTTGCCGTATTTATTGTCATTCAGTTTACCCTCCAAGACGTGACCCTTCATGTGGATTTTGTATGTCTCTGAATGCTTGAATGCTTTTTGACAGACATGGCACTGGTAGGTTTTATATGTTCCATGAGTGATCTTGTGTTTTTGTAGATTTCCATACTGCAAAAAAAAAAAAAAATAATAAAAAAAACATAAATAAATAAATGCAGTTATAAGCACTTTTAAATATGTTTGCACTAGATTGTTATCAGTTTATCATTTATAACCAGGCATTAGACAAAATTATTATAGCAACAGTATTTTCTCAAAATTTCTTTGCATGAAACACGATAATTATTTGACTTTCAAATTCATATAAATGTCATTGAATAGTACATAAATTAATTCTGGAATGGAATGTACCAGATTAACATGAGTTTTATGCATATATACATATTTATTTCATTTAATTTACTCCTCCCACCTGTCTGAAGGACCGCCCACAAATCTCACACACATATGGCATGGCTCCTGAATGAATATTCATGTGGACAGTGAGGGCGGTGCTTCCCGAGAGATATTTCCCACAAACTTCACACTGGTAAGCCTTCGTTTTCTCATGCGTGTGTAACTTCCTGTGTGTGTTCAACGTATCGCTCTGCTTGAATGCTTTTCCGCAAATATCACAAACATAATCACGAATGTTGCTATGTACAAATCTTTTGTGTTTATGCAAGCTGTTTTGATGTTTAAACGTCTGTTCACAAATATCGCACTGGATTCGTTCAACATTGAAGTGAATTTTATAGTGGGAACACAAGTTTTTCTTGTTTTTATACACCTTTTTGCATATATTACACGGCAACTCAAGGTTAGGCTTATTGAAGTCGACTTTTCTTATCCACTGGAGGTTTTCCTTGAACGTTCTCTGACAGTTGTGCATGGATAGGAGATAGAACATGCTGTACGCCTGCTTGCACTGGGAGCACACAAACTTGTTACCGGCACACTGTCTACACAGTGCCTGCTGGTTGCACTGTTCTGTAACTCTTTCACAGTTCTTACAAGCCCCAGACTTTGTCCCTCCGTCCTCTCCATTAATACTTTGTTCTATACCTTGACCTTCACAACTGTGTTTGAGATACGTCCTTTCTGAATGAAAACTTTGGGAACAATTCTTGCAGATCAGTTCTTCAGGGTTTGGTTCCTTGTTTTTTTTCGCGTAAGGCACCCTTTCTGCATTGCAAATCTTCATGTGCTTGCCAAGTGTCCCATTCTCTTTAAAAGTTTTTCCGCACGTAGAGCACATGAAATCGCGATTTTCATTGTTGCAGATTTTTAAATGTCTCAGCAAGGTTGTATTCTCTTTAAAACATTTCCCACATAGTGAACACATATACTCTCGATCTTCACTGTGAGCAAATCGCTTGTGCTTCTTAAGTTTACTACTGTCCTTATAATATTTAAAGCAAATATTACACTGGAACCTTGTATCACTATAATGCGTCTTATAATGCGCACAGAGATTCTTTTTACTCTTGAACCGTTTATAGCATATATTACATGGAAGGTTGCCTTCCAGTTTCTCAAAGTCTATAGCCAGAATTTCCTCCATGTTCTTGGGATAAGATTTCCTACAGTCATGCATGGCAAGGATGTAGAACATCTTGTACCTCTGCTGGCACTGTTTACAGGAGAATTCATTACCACAGCATTCCTCACAAAGCAGAGAGCCCACCTCCCCCATATCTTCACCTTGAATTGGTTTCTCACAGTTTATACATGTCTCATTCAGATTCTCCTCTTCTCCATTTTGCTCATCCTCACCATGGATTTTCTTGTGTATCTCATAAGCTTTCTCATCAGGAAATAACCCCTTACACTTCCTACAGGCAAATAAATTCTTGTTGTGTTTGACCTGGTGTTCGTATAACTCCTGCTTGGTTGTAAACTCCTCGTTACATTGAACACAGACGTGGAGTTTTTCCCCATCCTTGTCGGATTCTTTTCGCTTCATTTCTTTATCCACTGTGTGGGTACTGCGCTCATGTTTCAGAAGACCATGCTTTGTAACAAAACTTGAGGAACAAAGGTCACAGAAAAATTTCTTCTCTAGACAGGATTTTGTCGATTTCTGATGAAGACGGAGTTCAACAATGGAATTGAATTCCTGCTGACAACCCCTACATTTTTTAGCTTTTGATGTTTTTGTTTTCTTGTTTCTTGACTTCTCATTGGTTGTTTTATTGTTTCTTGATTTCTCATTGGTTTGTTTCTTGATTTGGGTTTTGTGTGAAGCTTTTCGATTGGCTTTCCTTCCTTTCTTAGCTTTTGACTTGTTTGTGGACTTTTTATTGGATGCCTCTTTACTTTGTTTGCTGCTTTTAGATTTCTCATTGGTTTCTTCCTCGTCCAGTAATTTAGCACAAATGTTAGATACAACATCACTCAGGGTTTTTCCCCCTTCATTGTCTTCCACAACTGTATCATCACTTTCATACTCCATCTCTGAAGCATAGATTTGTAAACTTTATACATGTATACAGTATGTGTACTGCAAACATGGAAAATATGCTTAAGAAAATTAACCCCAGGCACACTGTTCTTTCTAATGACTTGCATTGCAAAATTAAACACCTAAGTATTTTGCTGAGCAAACCTGATCACAGACAACAAATTAAACAATACAAAAATCTGTCTTATTCCTTTCAATAGAATTCTTTCTCCATGGTCATTTCAATGAGGTGAAAAAACAAAATTTATATTTGGCCTAATCAAAACACTTATATTTTCTAATTACCAGTAATAACACTCTAGTTCACTTACCTGATGTCATCGTTTTCTTTGCTCTAGTTCCCACAGTACCAACAAAATCATTGCTTCCTCTCTCTTCCTCATCTGGCTCCCAATCCTCGTCATTATCATCATCTAAAAAATCATCACCCTGGTCATCATCTTCAGTGTCATCTTCCTCTGAAGTCCTCTTAGCCACCTCCTCTACGTCAGGTACAACGCTCTCTCGTTTTCTCTTCGCTTGCCTTGTAGTTATGGTGGATTTGTTTTGTTGAATGTCTCCAACAGGCACTTTGTCCTTGATCCTTGTTAAGCTTTCATCTTCCACCTTGACCTCTGTGACCCTTTTGACCTCTGTGACCTTTTTGGCCTCTTGCTCCCTTTTCTCACTGGTACTATTGACACAATGTACATCAGCCTTCTCGATCTGATCTCTTCCTTCATCTCTACCTAAACAATAAGTAAATATATAAACAATAAGTAAACAATATGTAAACAATAAGTAAACAATATGTAAACAATAAGTAAACAATATGTTAACAATAAGTAAACAATATGTAAACAATAAGTAAACAATATATTTACATTTAACAATATGTAAACAACAAATTAACAATATGTAAACAATAAGTAAACAATATGTAAATAATAAGTAAACAATATATTAACATTTAACAATATGTAAACAACAAATAAACAATATGTAAACGATAAATAAACAATATTTGAATTTATAAATAAACAAACATGTATTAAAATAGGAAGTGCAACATGACACTATGTAATAAAGTTTCTGTGAATATTTCATTAAATTTGAATCCATGGTCTAGAAGGATTTGTTGATAAGAGATGGGTATGCCCCAATATAAACAGATTAGCAGTATCCTTGTTTAAACAATAAAATGCTTTATTTGGCAGTTAGTATGGAATCAGTGTCACAGCTGTTGCAGAAAAAATAAATAACCTGCGTAAGCGGGTTATATACTGTAGGTTCCTTATTTTACGCGAGTACTCAATATCGCGAAATGGCTCTTTCCTGCCAAATTTCGAGAACAATAATTCGCAAGTGGCTGGTTGATCAAGAGATTTTACATGGAATTCAGCGAGTCGTGCTTCTCGCGTAATTACTCGGTAATTAATTCCTTGCGTATATTTAGGAATCTACAGTAATTTTTTTTCTGCAATAGCTGTGACGTTAATTCCCGTACTCATAACTAAAGAAAGACATTTTACTGTTTATATTTATATCTGTATAATAATTTATATAATCATTTATGGAGGGATTAAAAAGATAAATTATTGTATTATTGATATGTACATCACAGTACATTTCATTGATGGAAGAGCCACTGATCAAAAAATCTGTACAGGTCATATGCCTAGTGTTGTTCATGAACTGATAAACGGCAATGGTTTTCTTTAGAAATAAAGGAGAAAATATTCAGTGGATGTAAATATTTTGATATGAAAACCCCAAATATTTTTCAATCAAAACAAAAAGGAAGGTACACAATGCTCTATATAATAAAGATGCTGTGGAAGTCTCAAAAAATAATTTTCAGTGGTATAGGATGAGTTGCAAATAGGAGATGTACCCCCAAGTATTCAGGATGTATGGAAAGAAGGACAACCCAATCACTATAACCCCCCCCCCCCCTTCCCCAAACACATACACACACACATCAGGCACTTCAAGTAGTAGGTATAAAAATGTTTCACTATCAGGGAGTGAATCTCTCATCTAAAAAAAAAAAACACCTACCATAACAGTGAGTAAGAAATTCCTCAAGTAGGTCACATGCTCTGCTCTCTAGAAAGGAGGTTCCTTTGGGTGAGGTGAGATGGATTCCTTTTCTGCGATCCTCCTTTACTACCAGGAGTAGATACTCATGGTTTGTCTGCTTCAACTTCTCACACTGAAAGAGGTATTTAAGTGATATATTGTGTAACTAGAGAATAATGTTTGTTGTAGTGTAAATATTCTTAAAATAAATTCAGTTGTCTGACATGGTTTAATCTCATAGTTACATACATTGTACTATATTCTAATCACTCAAAACAACACTTCAAATATGCCCTAGATCAAACCAATAATTTAAAAATTTGAACGTTCAAGTATAAAGGAACATGTACAGCATTGTGAAGAGTTTCGAAGATCCTGACTTCTCTGACAGCATCATTCTGAACTTCCGGCATCTGCTCCTTGTCAGTGCACTCCACAAACGTCACGTTGACTTCTTCCTCCATGGTAAAGTGAAGCAATCCTTCCTCTTAAGTCAAACCTAAAACAAGATAAAATCAAAGTTAACAATGGCCACGCAAAGCGGAGCATCTCCTTGTAAAGAGTATATCTATAAATCAGGACAGCATTCAACATCGATCCCGATGCAAATAATGTCACTTCCATTTCACACAAGACATAACACACCAACAAACACACGATTGTGTTACTCTATCTCCACCAACTCCGTTGTGAGGGGATAATAAGAAAGGTTCCCAGTTACGAGGTTGGGGTAGATTCTTATTGCATCACTGTGCCCTTGTACAGTTCACAGAGTTGTTCTAATGACCTATTCTGCAATTTTCAGTTATTTATCTAAATGGCATCTGTCCATAGTTTGAGATTTTCATCTTTAATTTGGTGTTTGCAATACTTTGTCTTAAATTTTTAATGTATCTTAAACATCTCATTCAACAGTTGATTCTGTCCTTGAAATTAAGTCAATTACAGGGACAAAACTGATTGTTTAACTGGATGTTTAAGAAATTGAATTGACATCTACAAAATGTAGAAAAGTAAACTGATAATTCAAACTATACATCTGCAGTATGAACACTGAAGAGACATATTATCAAACCGCGAGGAAAAAAAATCTGCAAAAAAGGTTTCCTCTCTTTGTATTAAGGTTTTTTTTTATTGTTGGAACACATTCATGCTTAAAAATATTTGCACAGTTTTTCTGTTTCTTTGTCTGTTTAAGGTCTCTTTGAGAGTTTTTCATTCATATCAAGATGCCACCATTTGCTGGTGAAGGACTGAAACTTAGACTGGTACTTAGCAGTTGCGGTCTTTGAGCGGAGAGAGATATTTTTTGTGCCAGCACTTATTGCAACACAGGACCTTGATTTATACAGTCTCATCAGAAAGACTGGTTTCCTGGTCCCCCAGTGGGATTCGAACCCACGACATAAGGTTCAACTCCTTACCATGTTACTCCACGACTCTAGAGCAAACACTCTAACCACTGCACCATTCAAGCTTTTCATGTCTGTTTGCAAAGTTAATGATTAAAATAGGTGCTTATTCATGTAACATGAAATTAAACAATCTTCCAAAACTAGTCAGGTCCAGTACAACCTGTACATTTAACTACAAAGCTAGAATTACCTACTGTAGCTTCATTTAGCTACCTGATGTAGCTTTATTTAGCTACTTAATCAAACATTCCTTAAATCAGCATTTTAAAATAGCATTTAGCTACTTAATCAAACTTATTCCTTATAATAGCATTTTTCTCAGGATGTGCAAAAAATCGAACTTTGACACAGGGATAATTCTCAACTTTGAACTCATCTGAAAACAATTTTTGAAAAAAAATTACTCTTTAATATGTGTCTTTTCCTGCACAATTGCAAATCAAAGTTCTAAAAGTTCTGGGGCTATATACAACAGTCAATTGAGACAGAACAGTTACTTCTTGAATGAAATAACAAAAAAGACAAGTTTTGGTTAACAGGATAATTGATTTGTAATTATTCAGCACAATATGGTGTAATCATACTTATCCAATGCCTCTCCACACACAAGGTGGTGTGCAATTACTCAAACAAAGGAAATACATCTTTTGCTTAAAAGTATTCAAATGCAGCAATATTTAAATTAGGCCCCTATCTCTGCTTTGGATTGCTTTTTTAAAAATCTTTAGTATAAATATTGGTTGTCATGTACTTGAGATTTTTTGTCCTTTTTTAATAAAAAGCAAAATTGTAAAAATTTGCATTGAAATAGCTAAACAAAGCTATCTGAAATAGCTAAATAAAGCTAGGATAGGTAATTCTAGCTATGTAGCTAAATGTACTGATTGTACTGGACCTGCTAATATATCTATACATGTATCTATCAGATAGCTTTACTTAGCTATTTCAAGACAAATTTTCACAATTTTACTTTTTATTTTAAAGAGACAAAAAGTCGCAAGTAAATGTCTACTAATATTTATTCTAGGTATTATTTAAAAAGCAATCTAAAGCAGAGATAGTTTTAACATTGCTGCGTTTGAACACTTTTAAGGAAAATATGTATTTCCATTGTTTGAATAACTGTGCACCACCTTGTGTGCGATGAGGCGTGGATACATATGATTACTTCACATTGTGCTCATGTTAACCAGAACTGGTTTTCTTTGTAATGTCACTCAAGAAGTAACTGTTAGATCACAAATTAACTGTTGTATATAGCCCCAAAACTTTTAGAACTTTGATTGCAATTGCGCAGAAAAAGACACATTTCCAAGAGTGATTTTTTCATGAATAGTTTTCAGATGAGTTCAAAGTTGAAAAATTATCACTGCATCAAAGTGCAATTTTCTGCACTTTCTGGGAAAAATGCTAATTTGAGAAATAAGTTTGATTTAGTAGCTAAACAAAGCTTCTTCAGGTAGGTAAATAAAGCTATGTAGGTAAATCAAGCTACGTAGTTAAATCTAGTGATTGTACCAGACCTGTCTATTGATTATGACTGCAACAATCCCAAGGATTGGATAGGAAATGTATGAAAAACGGTCCCAAAACTTTTATCTAATGATGCATGATCCAGGTCCCACACTGGGATTTGAACCCGTGACATAAGGATCAACTTTAATTTCATACTTAGACTGTGTTAGAGAATGCGTTCCTGAAAAGTCGGTCATGATTAGGCCCAAAGACAAACCTTGTTTGATTTGGAATTAAAAAGGACACTTAGAACCAAAAAAAGATTGAGAGAAAAAGCACTCAAAACTAAAAAACCGCTTGATTGGGCAAATTTTAGACAAATTAGAAACA